TCAAAGAATGATGACATGTAAGCCAAGATCAACCACAACGACAAAACGAGAACCGGTGCTTTCAACGTGGTATGGTCGCCGCCAACTGCACCACCACTCAAACTACACATCAACACAACACACACTCACACATACTAATCAAATACTCACTACTACTCGTCGTCAACATCCCCAATCACTAGTCATTCACTCAATCACTCAAACTACACAAATTACCACAGTCAGTCACACTGACAATTGTCACAACAACTACCACTAACTGCTCCACATATCCATTCAATGCACCGACCACATACACTGATCAACTCCACTCCAGTCTGTATCACTCATTCATCAGTCACACAGCCAACAGATAGATATCAGGCAACATCAATCAACACATACAACTGAATACAATGTCTGTCTGATCACCAGATTGCTTGTTCACAACTGGAGTGCAATGGAAATCCGCATTGTCAGTCAATTAGTCATTGCACTTTTCCACTCACTAGTCATCATGAACAGTCATCATGAAGAGTCATCATGAACGTGGTGTACATGTCGTCTACTGGTGTATCTGGTTGTCGATGTGCACGTGATGATATTGTGACTGTGTGTGTTTGGTGTATGCTAATGTTTGACTGGCAATATGACTGGTTTGTTGTGTTGAGACAGTGTGTGGTTGGTTGGATGTGTTTCATGTGGACTGGTTGTATGGTGTAGAGGTGAGGTGAAATAGACTGACAGTGTGTTGGATAGTGGTGATGCGAGTTGATCAAGTGTGTGTGAGACAGTGTGGCCAGAATAGTAATGAAAATAATAATATTAATTAGATGTGAATGGGAACAATGTGTATAATTGTAGTGGCGGTAGTTTCAGTCATTGGGATTGATCGATGTAGTAGTTGTTGTTGACGATTGAGAAATAGATTGTGTGTGTGGGTTGTTAAAAGCCGGCGACACCCGGTATTCCCAGCCGGTCACCCATGCAAGTACTGACCGGGCCCAACGTTGCTTAACTGCGGTGATCGGACGAGAACCGGTGCTTTCAACGTGGTATGGTCGCCGCCAACTGCACCACCACTCAAACTACACATCAACACAACACACACTCACACATACTAATCAAATACTCACTACTACTCGTCGTCAACATCCCCAATCACTAGTCATTCACTCAATCACTCAAACTACACAAATTACCACAGTCAGTCACACTGACAATTGTCACAACTACTACCACTAACTGCTCCACATATCCATTCAATGCACCGACCACATACACTGATCAACTCCACTCCAGTCTGTATCACTCATTCATCAGTCACACAGCCAACAGATAGATATCAGGCAACATCAATCAACACATACAACTGAATACAATGTCTGTCTGATCACCAGATTGCTTGTTCACAACTGGAGTCCAATGGAAATCCGCATTGTCAGTCAATTAGTCATTGCACTTTTCCACTCACTAGTCATCATGAACAGTCATCATGAAGAGTCATCATGAACGTGGTGTACACGTCGTCTACTGGTGTATCTGGTTGTCGATGTGCACGTGATGATATTGTGACTGTGTGTGTTTGGTGTATGCTAATGTTTGACTGGCAATATGACTGGTTTGTTGTGTTGAGACAGTGTGTGGTTGGTTGGATGTGTTTCATGTGGACTGGTTGTATGGTGTAGAGGTGAGGTGAAATAGACTGAATGTTTTTGGACAATGCTTATAAATGTCCAATAATTTTTTTTGATTTCTTAACTTTTATAGTTTGTTTACTGCCCGTTGCTTTTGTCATTCCCGTTCTTTTATTTCAACCCGTTTTTTCTTTGTAGTTTTATTTGTTTTAATATTTTTGTAAGTTTGATTGTTTTCTGTTTTTGTCTTTATGACAATTGCTGTCGTGTAGTTTTGAGTGTGGATCGAATTCTATCGAGTAAATATTAAGAGCATCATTTCTCTCACGATTACAGATATTCCTTGGTGAAGTGTACCGTATATCACACAACCTAGATTTAGTGTTTCCTATCCACATCTTCCAACCACCACCTTGCCATTTCGTTCTCTGTTATGTTTCGATAAGCATAATGAATGATAACTTTTGGAATATATTTGTGCATCAAATACTATACGTATAATTGCTAGGTAACTAAACGATTCACATTCATGTCCCTTTTATCATAAACTTTATTTTGACCCATGGACTATTATTATACGATTTACCATTCTTGAGTTATGTCCAATCTATCAATCACTACCTCTCACATTCACAGCCAATTTTGGCTAAATCTTATCGTACGATGTGGTCTGTCTGGCTGGTAAATAAACCCAGTATGTTTGAAATAGATGATTCATATCGCAGAGATTGAGATTGGTCTTCTGAACTTAACAAGCAGGGATAGGCAGGACCAATGAAGACTATAGACTACTGGCACATATTTTATGCGTCATTGATTCAATGGATAATTCATTGCTGTCTAATTGGCGATATCATTATGTTATCCATTAACACGGGTCTCTCAGGTTATAAATTATAACAGGAAGAAATTCATTCATGTCAGAATAAATTCATTGAAGAATTATTACATCTACAGTTATATTAGATATAAAGGAATAAACTTATATGTAGAGAACATAAAACAATGTTCGAAAGTTACAAACACAATCTATTTCAAAACCATAAACATTAAATAAGTAACGAAGTATATCTGAAAGATGTAACATTTAAAAAGTAAACACATAGAATGATGCAAATGATTGTGTTTATTGACACCGGATCAAGATCAATAGTTGATTAGTGTCAAAATATTGTTGACAATGAATGATCATAGATCTAATCAGCTTTCTTGTTTGTTGAACCACCACCTTCTAACATTTGAAGACGATACTATGAAGAAGACAACAACAAAAAACATGAATAGAGAAGTGACCATGGAAAGAAATGAAGATGATGAAACTATCATTTATGGACGAATCAATCAGATTTTGGGATAACAGGTCTTGCATTGTGGCGTGAAATTCACTCACATTCATTTGGATGATGTCAGTTCGTGATGAAAACCATCAATCTAATTTCTAACCTTTACCATCAACAGTAAATCATAATCTTTATTCCTCAAACTGTTTTATAATCTTCATTTAGCCCTATTAAGTAGATAGACATTCTCAAGGACACTTTGGCATCGCTCAAAGCTCGTCGTCCATAAATTATAGTCTCACAATGAAGATTATTTAATGGGTGAATAGTGACAAATGTCATATCTGTCCAGTGTTTTAATACGGATCGAACTCTATTGATCATTTGGCGGAGGGGTGCCTAACTGGTTTACTCAATGATTATTGAATTATAAATTTTTATTCAATATTTATAAGGAGTGAAATAAAACTAACTACAATATAAATAAGCTACATGTATTATAGTCTAATTTAAACAATTTAACTACGAAAGTCATCATTCAGAAGATACAACTGTTTATTAACAGCTATCTACGCAAAATACTTCGAAATCCGTTGGCCAGACGATATCAGTAACAATCTATTGTGGGAGAGAACAAACCAGATTCCAGCAGAGGAAGAAATCAGGAAGAACAGCTGGAAGTCGATAGGATACACATTGACGAAAACATCCAACTGTGTCACAAGACAAGCTCTCACTTAGAATCTTGAGGGTCAAAGGAGAGGAAGACCAAAGAACACATTACGCCAAGAAATAGAGACAGACATGAAAAGAATGAACAAAAAGTGGATAGAAGTTGAAAAGAAGGCCCAGGATAGAGTGGGTTGGAGAATGGTGATCGGTGACCCATGCTCCATTGGGAGTAACAGGCGTAAGAAATTAAGTAAGTAAATGTAAAAAGCAAATAAACTTTTGAAGTAGGAAACAAATCACAAGCAATCTTACATAATCCTTATTTATTTATTTGCTTATTTCAGCTATACATGTAAATTGTGATATAGTACAGTACTAGAATAATATACCAATACCAACAATACAAAGAAAGAGATAACATTCTAAAGAAAAAGATGAAAAACAAGTCAATACAAAGTTACAAAATCACTCGGTAAAATCTCACAACCATACAGTGAACACTTCATTTTCAAAGTATCAATCAATCATCTCAGATTTTGTTGTTCATTCGTTTCCACAACAATCATTCTCTGTTCTCTTTCTCTTCTCTTCGATATTTTTGACCTTCTGCCGCCAGACATTCCCCTTTCAATTGACGATACATTCTACTTATATTTGTAGACACACCCCACAATACGACCGAGGGTAAGGAAAGCTTGCTCCCTCTTACTCCCTGCTTTCCCGCCAACAGGCTGCTCTTCATGAAGTCAAGAGGACGAAAAGCAAATATTTGGAACTTAGACCACATTAGTGAACGGATACAGAGGATCTACCTAGGACAGTTGGAAAACCCTGGTTCCAAACCAATGGTGAACATGGGCTTCAGGATCCTAAGGGAACAAATGGAGTATGAACCTAATCTTGATCACCGACTACTATGTGGTCGTGAGTCAGTCAGTCAGCTACAACGTAGGATCAGGCACATATATGCATCAATCCACGTTGCCATAGCTCATCAACACAACAAGATGAACACCGGATTCATAATAGTTAATTCAGAGGTGATAATATATAAAAGAAAGATTGAATATAAGGATATAATAAAGGAAGAAAGATATGAAGCGATTTTAATCTCTTAGTTTAAGGGAAGACAGAGAGTGTATACACCGACGCCATTGTGATCTATTCTGAAACATGTCACACATAATTTCCAACCATTGGTTACGATAGTCACGCGGACCCCAATCAAGTAGTCTGCATCTCCCAACATGGCTCGGACTAGAAGTTAGTGACTTTAAGCACTGATGCCACGTTTTGGTTTGGCTACCCCTAACTTTCTTCCAACCATCTCCAACACCGGTTAGCATTGCACATCGTGGTAACCGGTGTTCAAGCATACGTAACACGTGACCCAGCCATCTCGGTCGATGAAGATTCACAACCTCCTCAACTGATTTGCCATCATTCCTTAATAACCTGCGTCTAACCTCACTATTACTTACCCGGTGATCCCAGAAGATGTGAGTAATATTTCTAAGGTATCTGTGGTCAAATACTAGTAGCTTACGAGTATCTTCTACTCTTAATGGCCGTGTTTCGCTGCCGTAAATTAAAACAGAACGGACTGGCACGCAGTATACTCGTCCTTTCATTGATAGGCGGATATCTCGCCTTCTCCATAGGTGACGTAAGTTGGCAAAAGCCAAACGAGCTTTTCGAATCCATGCTGAGATTTCGTCAGACACCAACCCATTAAAGCTGATCAGACTTCTAAAATAAGTGAAGTTTTCAACGCGTTCGACTACTTCACTCCCTATCCTTAGTTCAGGTGTTGACGCAGACCAGTCCTGAAACAACAACTTGCATTTAGAGGGAGAGAAGCGCATTCTAAACATTCTGGCATTGTTGCTTAGTGCTACCAAAAGACTCTGTATTTTATCAGCATCTTCACCAAACAGGACTATTTCATCCTCCTAAGAAAACCAATTGCTTCAATTTGGACAACCGAACAGTATCTCAGCCCACATACAAATGGAGTGATTTTTGTGGTGCATATATATTTTGGTGCTCCTTTAATATCAATGTTTATGCGCTTAAATAAATAATAATTAAGATAATATATGGGTATTTAGTGAAATACTCTAAACCCCATCCCTATTACCACAACAGGTCACAATATTTCAGTAAAATATCATTTTAAGAAGGTGTTGATTACTTCATTGTAAAATAATTACAGAACATGAATCATCCTTCTTTGTAACTTACTTGTAGTTTTTGACATTCTTGTGTGACACGATCATATTCAGTATTCGTTTGAAGAGTTTGTTTCTTTAAAGTTTCCAAATCTTGTTTAGTTTTTTGATGAGCTATTATATAGGGATACAAGATTCAATGAAAGAAAACATTCAATCCTAATTAATGACTAACTTAAAAGGATAAAGTAATATTTACAAAAGGTTTAAACCATTCTGAATTTAGCCATTATGAAATAACTAATGTAATTCCTTTACTTGATAAAGTTCGTGTTAACTAATGGGTAATAGGCGGAAACTTGGAGAACTACGAAAGCCATCATTCAGAAGATACAGTTGTTTATTAACAGCTATCTACGCAAAATACTTCGAAATCCGTTGGCCAAACGATATCAGTGACAATCTATTGTGGGAGAGAACAAACCGGATTCCAGCAGAGGAAGAAATCAGGAAGAACAGCTGGAAGTCGATAGGATACACATTGACGAAAACATCCAACTGTGTCACAAGACAAGCTCTCACTTAGAATCTTGAGGGTCAAAGGAGAGGAAGACCAAAGAATACATTACACCGAGAAATAGAGACAGACATGAAAAGAATGAACAAAAATTGGATAAGTTGAAAAGAAGGCCCAGGACAGAATGGGTTGGAGAATGCTGATCGGTGACCTATACTCCATTGAGAGTAACAGGCGTAAGTAGGTAAGTAACAGATCAAACAGGTTTTCCCACCTAGTACCTTGATACACTGCTTAACAGCTTAATATAGTTCATGCAATGTTGAGTCATTTAGACTAGTGGTTACATTACAGCTTAATAGATGAAATTAGTCAATTAGTCAAGTTCTTAAGGGTAGAATGGTATATATATGAGTATTTGTGCATTTCATTCGGTAGTCTTATACACTTTATCGCTCACTTTTGTGTTCTCGCTCAAGTAGTCCGTTGTGAGGTTAGTGTGTAGAATCTAGTGTATATGTATCAGATTTCAGACAACGGAAGTCAAAAAAGAATACAAAAGGGAGCATAAGTTCCATAAAGATTAAGAGTAAGATTAAATAGAGTGTAAGTTGGCATGGGAAATAGCCCCAAGGTTTCTTGGAGATTACCTGCAACTACCTACCAGATTATCTGTTTAGAGTTCCTCTGATTATTGTGACTAATGGTATGAAATATTGGGTGATACGACTCAGAATCAGTCGACATGGTACAGATACATTCGATCTTCGTCTATTCCTAGACCTTGGAGTTTCAAAACTGCATTTATTATTCTCTTATTCTGTAAAAAACAATACAAAATATACAATATATATGATCATGTAGTTCAAGATTAAAACTAACCTTTTTCCTCAGATTCAAATTTCTTAGTTAATTTCGCCAATTCATCTTTTAATGCTTCCATAGTATCAGGCTAGTGAACAAGAAAGAGAAGAATTTCACAGATTACAGAAAGCTATATTCAAATTATATGTTAATATATATATATATATATAGTGATTAAAAAACACTTTAAACAAATATAGAGTTCAAAATTTTGTTACAAACTATAATTTCACATACGGCATTTTGTAGTTTTTACTAGAATTGAGAGTTGCTTAGCACTAACAGCTGAACTCACCCACAATGGACCCTGGTTAGAGTTTAGAAACCTCACTACAATCCACATCGGAGCACACAGTGAAGCAAAGAAATCAGCTCCCGATTGGACCAACATACATTTGATCTTGGCCCCTAGAGCCGATCTTTTTCTCAACGTTATGGGTCCAATTTGCTAGCTTCCTTTGACGACATATCAGTTTCCAAAGGCCATATACCTTAAATAGCTGCTGTAGATATGAATATGGGATGCCAGGAAAATCAAACTGCTTCTCTTCTTATTGCTTATGGTTCACAAAAGCGTTTTGGATACCATAAAGGTAATGCTTTATGCAGGCTACTCCCTGTCTCTGAATAAGCCGATTTTAAGGAGTGGATGGATTGCTGGCAGAGAAAAGAGGACTCTTCCTAGAACTCTCGCCGATGTCTTCGAGGTTGATCACGTCACCGCACCAGGCTTAATTCGAGCCAAAGACTCAAAATACACCAATCTCTGTGGTTAAGGTAGGGAATGTTAACTCGACTCCCTTTCGGTACAGGGGGCTACAATGCGACAGTGCTTTGCAAGTTACTACGCGAATCCCGCGGACGGACAATGCCATAAACCCTGCCTCAGTTCCAATTTGCCAGATAATTTTGGGCCGCTTGGTCCATATTCGACTCCTATTCGCATGGAACCCCACCCCACCCCAGCCTTCAATGTTCTTACTTATATACTTGCTACGACCACTAAGATCTGCACCAGCGGTTGCTGCATCGAGGCACACAGCTGAGGTTTCCAGCTAGCCATAGAGATTTTGCTACTCATTGTCGTTACTCCATGCTTGGATCAAACGCGACTAACCCTAACACAACATAGCCCTAATAGTTATGTGGTCGTAGTTTTAACCATACATGCAAAGAATAACTTTTAAAACACAGAACTGGTTTATTTTACACAGTCCGATATACTCAACACGGTTCAATATTGTAGTTAGACCTCCTGTCTAACATCAACATTAGTTAAAGTTAAATACCTTCTCCTGCAATGCTTGCACAGTTATGGAATTTATATTTTAAGTGTGAACATAAAGAAAATTCATCACTCTGTAATCTTTATCTATTTATGAAAACGCTGCTTATACTTTTAATACCTCTACCACCACGGGATTTGAATCAGACAACTGCATCTCTATGCTAATATGGTATGGCAGCTCGAACTGATGTACGTACGTACGAAGTTCTACGTTGTTATTGACTGACTGAATATTTAAACGCATATACACTGATACAAATGAGCACCAAAATAAATATGCGCCACAAAAATCACTCAATTTGTATGCGGGACTAGATAATGTACGGTTGTCCAAACCGAAGCATTTGGTTGTCTTAGGAGCCACTCCATAAGCCTTTGGTCAAGGAATCTACTCTACAAGACAGTGAAGAAACGTTACGAGATGCGATCACATAGTAGCCGGTGATCAAGATTAGGTTCATACTCCATTTGTTCCCTTAGGATCCTGAAGCCCACGTTCACCATTGGTTTGGAACCAGGGTTTTCCAACTGTCCTAAGTAGATCCTCTGTATCCGTTCACTAATGTGGTCTAAGTTCCAAATATTTGCTTTTCGTCCTCTTGACTTCGTGAAGAGCAGCCCGTTAGCGGGAAGGCAGGGAGTAGGACTTAATGATGAGTGGCTATATACGCGTGGTCATATGAGAGAATATGGAAGGGGGGAGCGGACTCTCTCTACCCTCGGTCGTATCAGGACATTCTATAATCCTAACAATAACAATTGTGAAGCACAAAGTAGTTAATGTACAACTAGATTACTTGGTTAAATTAATAAGGCACAAAAATTAGTGTAGCAAGTTTGTGGAGATCATTGAATTTCACAGTTTGTATCACGAATTGACTGCAGCGAGACGACCAATGAAAATCAGTAAACATTTCATATTACTGTGGAGTTTCACAGAAGTATCCATCTACGACCTCACCGAGAATCACATTCAGAACTTTAAGGTCTGATCATGAAACTGCCTTATTTTTCTTCCAGAAAACATTACAAATACAAAATTTAGATGAAAGTGAGCTATTCGAATTTCTCCATATATAACTAACAGTTTGATTTGATTAGTTGTTTTTAACACTTGTCTTATTATTTTAGTAAAGTTGAATAGTGTTTAGCAATGGAATCCATGATGAGTGTTTGTTTTATCTAGGACTCACATGTATGCCAAAAATGTATTGATCAATTATAGTCTTTAATATCACAAAAGGGAGATATAAATATTTACAAATCAAATTCATCTTCATTGCATAATCCAGTGGATATCTGGACTTGGTACTTCTGTGGATAACGAATTGGTATTGGAAGCGAACGGTATTGAGTTCAAATTTCAATGTGAAGATCAATACTGGGATGTAGTTACATCAGGCTGATGAATCCTAAACAGGACGAAACACATTTTCTGGATTCTACTGTTACTTATCACCAGGTTTTTTAAAGACACCTGTGAATTAATCGTAATATTGAAGCGATTCGCTCAGTGTACACAAATACAGAAGATGAGACTGATCAATCACAGACCTTAGTAGCATCAATGGGAAAATATTATTTGTCTTATCAATGGCTGAACATTTGACGTGATCATCGACCTCATAATTATTTAAGAGTTTTCTAATTAATCAATAGATTAAATAGATTTCCATACGTTTATTAAACACCGATTGACCTGAATGCCAAGCTTCTAAAGGTGCTGTCAAAATCGAAAAAATCGATTGAATAAATGTTCAGCTAATAACGGGACGAGTGTAAACAACAATCAGTGAAGGTCAAGGTTAACAGAATAAGCTGTTAGGTATGTATAAGGACAATATCTAACTGTAACTCATTTGGAATCTTATACTATCAGCTTCTAGTTCCAATTATCCGACTGTCTTAATCTCATACCTATATTATCGATAATGTCATTGATTGTATCCATTGTTAAATGTAAGTGCATCTTATGTGCTCACTAAACTGTCGGTTTACTTATTCTCTTATTCTTTTCTCTTCCAAACATATTGCTCGTTACACTTCCCCTGTAGATCAGATGTGATTCTAATAATAAATCTGGTCAGACATTGGCCAAAAGATCGGCGCACGTCGTTAGTCAAGATTTGGTTTATCTTTCTAGGTGGGGACATACGATTGATTGAAAGTGTGGCTTTATCTTTTAAGGGAAAGCATGCACATATATTATCGATTCCATTTTGTCAATAAAGCTTCCTTCTCATCCAATTAGTTGGTCTACAACTGAGTATAGGAAGCTTGCGTATATCAGTATAAGTATTCGGAAAGCCGCGCAACATAATAATAAAGGTTGAACGTTAAACATTATTATCAGAACCTTGCGCTAATAATGGTCTCTAGAATGCCAATTAAAAACCTTCGTGATTAAACCACCCAGCTCATATAACATTTCGATGATGATAATAATAAACTTACATATATATCTTCCGTATCACTATCAGTAACTTTTGATTGATCTAACAAACGTTGCGCTGCTGCTGTTGCACTCTGAGCTTGTTTAATACTTGCCTCTTCGGAAGCTTGCATTTTGGCATGTTCCGAAAGTAAACTGACAAGACGATGCAGTACACTTGAAATATGAGAATCAGTTACAATTAGATATAACGAAGGTTTAAACAAGAAATAATATGAAAAAAATCATCTTTTTTATATGTATGATTGTGTTTTAAACAATAATGGCTAGCATTTAAGTCGAGAATACGCGTTTCATTCTATTTAGGACTCATTAGCTGGATGTAACCACAGAGATTCGAACACAGTACCTTTCACTTCAAGACACTAATCAACTGCAATCAATTGAATCAACGAGAACGTTCGAACAAACGTTACAAATGACTTAAAATCCACCTAGTTACACAACTCAATAGCTATTCGCACTCAGTTAAGAAGTGGTTATCTGGAATCAGTAGCTCAATAGATAAGGTATTGGGCATTTGAAGCGAAAGGTACTGAGTTAGAGTTGCCGTGTGAACACCAACACTGATGCATGTGAATCCATCTGACAAATCCCAAACAAGATGAGACATGCATCTTAGATTCCACGGCTAGTCATATACTATATCCACTAATTGTATAAACTGTCTGAAAAAACGACATATTTTACGTGACAATTACAGAAAAACATTGGTTGAAGTTGGAGATGAGATGGGAAATTCTTTAGTTTTTTCTTCTATAATATTTATGATTCTAAAAAATTATCCTACCTTCGTCATCTCTAATCTTGACTAATTCTTCGCTTGATGTAACTTTCTGTGTATCAAATTCCTAAGCTAAAATCACCACATCAGATGTCAAAATCAAATCTAGTTAACTCACTCACCAGGTAATTGAGTATGGACCACCTTTTAAGTGTGAGAGCTAGTGATACTAACCGATTGCCCGAACCGAACCTGAGACCCAATAGCTGAAACTCGAACGTCTTTCGGTAGAACAAGTCTTTTAAAGCCTACGAGTTGCAATCTATAGATTAGGTTGAAACTACGAACTGTAGTATCTTCATGTATACCTATATTTCCGAATTTTCAGTCATTAAAAATGAAGTGATAAACAAAATAATTCTTTTACACTAACCATCATACATAAAAACAAACGAAGGAAGTAGAAGCGCAATGGCTATGACAAACTAAAAACACAATTAGTAGACAACAGACGAATAACACATCACTGGTGAGTTGGCTTTTATAATTAAAAAAGTGTCCAAAAGATCTTGTTAGAGGGCATAAATCATGACCACTTAGATGACGACAGTTAGGGAGGTTGATTATGAATACAGTGGTCTTGAATGTTGTTAGAAGTATGAGGGCTGTTATCACTTCCCGGTTGCCCACACCGTGGAAGGGTTCTTCTAGAGGTACCTGTAAAGGAAATTGGATTATAGGTGGTCTTAGTGGCCCGAGAGCGTGACTGCAGTGCCCAAGGGACATTTGCTTGAGGTCTGCCAGACACGGCCTTATTGTGAGTAATTTTCGTGTTAACTCCGTACTTGTTGAGACCTTATCGACGGAGACGGGTATCCGTGGGATAAGGCGAGATGTGTATTTTTAAGGTCGACCTTTTTTAACCCCACCCGTCTTTGTAGGAAGGCAGCATCGCTGTTATGCTGGTTGTCCGAAGGAAACAACTTACTGCCGTCACACCTCTGTACAGTCAGCAGTACGAGTTCGCTTTCGAGCCTGCTTTTAGTTTTATCGTTCTTCAACCGACCTGTTTGGCATGGTAGGACCTTGAGGAGCGATTGCTCCAGACAGTATGGCTCGAGTGGTTCATCACGATAGGCAAGCCCTACCACCACATTAAGGTACCAACTGTATTCCAGTAACCGGTATTCAGACTACAATCTAATCACTGGTATGATTAAAAGTCTGACTAAAAATGTTCAACGCCAATTAATTTATACATTAAAAGTTCGCCTTTAGAAAAAGATCAAAGTAAAATTAAGTGAAAGAAGCTAACTTACAACCACACGAATAACGAAAATCCAGTAATATAAAAATTACGTTGAGCACGGAACATACGCATTAAGTAAAGAGATTCTGTTTCTGGACGCATTTCATGAGGATGATCTTTAATTGAATTATAGGCTTGTCTCAGTACCCATATATTACGAAGTGCTTCTATGAACAAAATTTCAAAAAATCGATAACATTTATAAGATGATATTCTGCACAAAAATTACAAGTAATATATTCAAAACATTCAAAACAAAACAATCACTATACACCCTTAAATAGGAGGATTATGACTAGCAGTCAAATTCGAAACTTGTCAACTGAATTTACTCACATTCTAAAGCTGATATTCAGGATACTAAGATCTAAGTACATCTAAACGATGAGTCTCAAATAGGACGAAACGTGTCATCTAGCTATAATCTATCTATTCTAAATAACTTGAGGACAAAATGGCTATATCGATGCAATAGAGACAAGATGCATATACCCCAACAAAGATTGATCAAAAACTGATCCCGATTAACAACAATGAGATAATACAAACTCTTAGTAATAATGATATAAACATACAATTGAATACAACTTATGATTCTCTTAGTTAATCACATTATTTCTCGATTACCATATACTTCTTAATATCTCAGAATCTATCACAATGGCGTCAGTGTATACACTCTTTGTCTTCTCCCAAACTATGAGATTAAAATCACTTCATATCTTTCTTTCTACGAACCAACTCTTTCTTCCGGTACTATTTCTTTATATGCAATCATTCTTTTATATATTACCACCACTGAATTAACTAATTCTATGAATTCGGTGTTCATCTTGTTGTTGAGATATGGCAACTCGGACCGATACATATATGTGCCTGGTCCTACGTTGTAGCTAAATGACTGACTGACCATACAATATACCAACAAATTAGAACTGTACATTTAATTGTATTTATTTATTTATTTGAACACATAGATATTGGTACAAGGGAGCACCAGATACATATGCGCCACGCAAATTTCATTTGATATGTGTGAGGCCTGTGATACTGCCCAGGTGCCCAAATCGAAGTTGATGGTTTCCTTAGGGGGCCACACCCGGAGACTTTGACCTAAAAGTCTGATGCACAAAGCAGTGGAGCAACGTAAGGAGATGCATTCCCGTGGTAACCGGTGACCAATAACTGGTTTTTCCTTAAGGATACCGGAGCCCATGTGAATTGACTAGGTACTTATTAGGTTACGAAATCGCAGAAAGGTTTATTTTCAGTTTTATTTTGTATTCCATACAACTTCATTTCGAATGTGATATTTAATTATATCATTTTAACATGTTTTCTTAAAAATTTTGAAACTGTTAAGTGTCTTACATTAATTATTGATTTATTCGATATTTAAGTATAATAAGTTGTAAAATACTTGAGATTAAAAAGCATTCAGTTAGGGTCAATGTTGAAACCTGATATGTGTGCATTGGCTCAAGTTGCTACGCGAAAGAGATGGAATTAACAAAATGAGTAAAAAAAGGAATGGAAATAACCTATTATCAATGACCAATCAGCCATTCATATGCGACATAGAACGCACATGCATCGGTCCACAAATTCCAGAGTAGTCAATCAGTCAGTCACAATGTAGGATCTAGTATGTATGTACATAGGTTTAAGTTTCTATACCCCATGAGCACAGAGATTTGTCAAGTCAAATCCTAGAATAGTAGAAGTAGTAAGAGTACTAGTGGTAATCACACCACCTGTCAAGATAGATGGTGGTTGGGCATACTTAAGACATGTTCCATTCAATTCGGTTGATGAAGATTTACTACCTCATCAATTCATTTGCTATCTTTACATAGTACTATATTCCCAACCCAGGTATTGCTTACCCGGTGGTCCCAAAATACATGACGAATGTTTCGAAAATACCTATGATCAACTACAAGTAACCTACGAATATTTTTTATTATTAATGACCAGGTTTAATACCCATAAAGTAGGACGGAGTCAACTGTTGTATAATGAATTTGTCCATTGGTTGATAGACGAATATCTCGCCTACGCTACAAGTGACGAAAGTTGACAAAAGCCGATTGAGCCTTCAGAATACGTGCTGAAACTTTGTCAGACACCAAACCATCAGGACTGATGAGACTTCCAAGATAGGTGAAGTGGTCACTGAGTTCAACTACTTCACTCTATTATTAATTCAGGAAATGAATAGATAGTCAGAAGTTTGAACCACACTAGCCACGAAGCGTCAGTAGTCGTCATACAAAAAAACTAACTCAAAGCCTGTATTAATTAAATGGATTGCATCATGAGATCTCAAGATGGTGGGCAAGGTTCGCAGCTCAAGTGGATGATTTTGATCGTCACGACCAAACCATCCAGCTCAGAGAACAAAACTCGATCAAAATCATGAGGTCTCTTTAGGAGAAGGGAGAATGCAAAACAACATAATTTCTATGTTTGGTATTTAACAAGACATAACTAGTCAAAGTGTTCAAGGACTTGACAGATTTACAACCCTTGAATTCATCTTATACAATCAATTACCTAGGCTGCCAAATGATTTTATACTTGAGCAACAAAAAATATTTCAAGTATAGGAAATTAGTAATTTGCGTTTAAATGCCAATAAAATCTATACCATACATTTTACAAATTTCCGATTGGATTATTAAGAGCAAATCTTACAACCTTCTGGAAGATTCGATTGTCAAATCTTTATTTCAAATATCAACCTAAGTAACCAACCAACAATAGTTTCACGGTCATCTCTAACCACGTTTGATATAAGTAACGACATCCGTAACACCAATCCACGAACTGAAATTGTCTCAAAATGACAAACTACATTCCTGAGACCATCAGTGGTTTATCATGAACATTTAGTCGTTAGGCTTTGAAAAAAAAATGCACAGATTTTTGTGAAAAATGCAACAAAAACATATGTTTCACTTACCAGCTAACACGCATACTAACATTACGAGAAATAAACGAAAATAGAATGATGATTTTTCTGAAATCTTCTGGATTATGCTGAATTTGAAGAATTTGCTCCATCTAATTTTTTTAAAAAATGATAACTACCTAAACTTGGAATGTATATGAATCTTACGTTTGTGATGAGAAGAATGGAAGAATCATCAGCAAAACAACGAACATCTCGCTATACAAGAACGTTACAACTATATGCCACAACATTTTCAATACTTCTAAAAAAAGAGAAATGTAGAGAAAAAGCGAAACATAGTAATATTACATGGCAGTAAATACAGTATACGAATTTTTAAAAAAACATTAGGTAATTTCATAATGATTTCTTTATAAAATGTTCATTTGTATAGCGTTTAAATGATATGTAACAAATAATAATGTTTACAGCGTATATAGACAAACAAACAAGACAAATATCTCTGAGAATAAAAAATAAAATGTAACACAAGTAAATTGAGCCCAGAACAGAAATGCAAGACAGTAGTATTGATAATTTCATCATTATTCTTGATTTGAGACAACCTATAAAATAAAACGCATAGAGTATGACGATGAGCTAGTTACAACGAATTACTTAGCAAGAACATCAGAGTGTAGTAAAATAGACCATATACTGGATTTCTTTGGGTAAATATGGCATTCCCGTAAGAATTTATCGGTAATCCAAGTCCTCGGCCGTATCAGATTTTTAAAAAAAGGCATGCAAACATAGTCTTACTTTGATGTCAATACATTCGAACAACTCATATATTCGGAAATATCACAAAATGCACGGTACTCCTTATTTGATTCCTTTGAATGCTCCACATGTAATGCGTAAATACATATTAAGATGCCAACTATGCAGGAGAAAGACATCATTTTCGATGTTTTGGCAAACATTTTCTGAGCTTCTTCTACATGAAAGCAGAAAGATAAACTGTTACCAGAATATCTGTGCAAGCATTTTTATTAAAACACTTGTTTGAAGCTGGCACTATTAGGCTTAGCTACAGCGTTTCAGGCTAGAGAAGAGAGATATCTTCAGGCCTGATGACCACAGACTAACCAGACGATGAATGTGGATCCTCACTAGTCATCGACTGAGAGGATTGACAGATCACTAACTCTGGAGAATAAACGAGGAAATCGGTCGTACTCTAGTAGAAGCACATGTTATAGTGGGCTTTAATGAATACAAAATACTTACAAGGGGAAAACTTCTAAGAGACCCATACACAGTATGTCGGAGAGGATAGTATTACAGAATGATCTTAGCTCATTGGTGGCATGGTTAGACAGGTGGTCACTAGAAGTAAATCCTAATAAGAGTATAGTAATGCAAATAAATATGAATCGTATCACTACACAATAGGTGGATTCGTGCTACCCAAAGTAAGAAACTATAAAGATTTAGGAGTCATATTAAGCAGTGATCTCAAAACCACTAGTCACTGTAAGGCTGCTGCTGCGAAAGGCTATAGGGTATCATGGTCTATTTGTAGGTCTTTCCAGTATCTAGATGATGAAATGTTTAGATTATTATACCCGATTTATGTGGGACCACGTTTAGAATATGGGATTCAAGCAGCGTATCCTTGTTTCAAGTATGAAGCAGATATGCTGGAAAGAGTCCAACGACGAGGTACTAATATGGTACAAGGTCTATCTGACCTATCTTATGGAGACAGACACCTCAACTTATTTCCGTTATCTTACCGTAGATTACGGGGTGATCTAATATTGGCTTATCGTATACTGAACGATGACCTTGGTATTAACATGTCTTACCTTTTACTTCCGTCCAGGACTGATCACTTGAGAGGACATTAGAAGTTCAAAAAACCGAGATCAAATCGTTTACATCTGGAGTTTCGTTTCTCCCACCGAGTAGTGAGTTACTGGAATTCTTTACCGGAACACGCAACATCAGCACCTTCCGTTGATATATTCAAAACGAAATTGGACCTCTACAGTATTACAAACTGCAAGGATTTATATAGGTCAATAGACCTCCTATCCTTATTACTGAAGACTGAACTCAGCAAACGGATGGGAATATCAAAGGTGTTTGAGGAAGAGTCGGATTAGCAGCTAGTTTACTACAAAGAGGCTTTCCGTTCCAAGTCAGGTCTACAGGACGTCTAGACTGCTACAAAAATTTTGATGACGTCTGTAAACAGCTTAGACAGAAATACTAAAGGCTAGTGGACCACTAAGTTATTAATTGCTTGGCAACTCACTTTGGTGAACACCAAACAAATTCTACGTAATGGTCGTCAATAGTGAGTACACCAAGGACGAATAGAAAAGGTAGATGTGATAGTTATGACACCAAACAACCCAATATTTTACAAAAGGAGGGGTTTTAAGATTTGAATACCCAAACAATAATAGATACTAGCGAATTATATCTTAAACAACAAGAAACAAATATGGTGAGTCCTGCTGCTCTTTGCTTACAAACGTGCAACAGCGCTATTGGTCTGTCCAAATCGTCGAAGGACTTTTAAGTAGCGTTGGCATTTGAATGGTTCAAATGGTTCAAATGGTTGTGGACGGAATAGAAGAAGCTTTCGCTTAACAGGCTTCTGTGTCTAGTAGCAGGGGATCACTGAAACCTCCAGGCAGTGGCCTAGGTATGGTAACAATAAAAGAGGAAAAAGAAATTGGTAAATCATAGTATGATACTATCCCTAATCCTTAAGAATAGATCAAGTTGCCTCTTAAAGGACTCCTGGGAAGTCGCTTGGACTAGCTCGGCCGGTAGCGAATTCCAGCATTTGGCAACTCTTAAAGAGTAGAAGTTGTGTCTACAGTCCGTTCCGCTAAGTTGTGTCTCAAGTTTCTGGGTGTTACCCCTTAGGTTAGTGTTGAAACTAAGCCCAAGTAGGTGTTTAAGAGGATGTCCAGAAGTGTTAAAAATACTATAAGTCATTAATAGATCACCTCTAAGACGCCTATACTCTAATGGGTAAAGGTTAAGTGATTGGAGGCGCTCTTCATTAGGTTTAAATTTGAGTCCTCGAACTGATTTCGTGGCTCGCCGTTGGATACGCTCCAGATGTCCTTAACCTTTTGGAGTGAGGGAGGACATACTATGCTTCCGTACTCTAAATGGGGACGGATAAAACTATTGAAAACTATATGGAAAGTTATTCCGTCAAACTGGCCAAAAATGCGCTTCAATTTTACCAGTGCAACGTTTGCTCGGAAGGCATTTTTGTCACAGTTAGCGTAAGACTTCAAATCATGGGGCATCAGGACTCCTAAATGTTTTTCGACTTGGGATACTACTAGAGAGGAGTTTCCTAAGTTGTAACTGTAGTCTGCGACATGTCGCAGACGGAACACTTTACACTTTGAAGTGTTAAAGGTAAGTCCGTTATCGTCTGCCCAACTCTGAAGTCCAGTCTGATCCTCCTGAAGTGCCTGCATATTGTCTTGGCTGCGTATCTCTCTCCAAAGTTTCACGTCGTCGGGAAAAAGTAATAAGTCTGACGTTGCCTGTTGAGGAAGATCGTTTATGTAGATCAAGTAGAGAAGAGGCCCCAGCACTGAGCCCTGGGGGAACCCACTAGAACATTCCATAGCCTGAGATAAAGTGAAATTAACCCCAACCTTAAAGTGTCGATTTTTTAGGTATGAAGTAAGCCAATCGATTAGAGGTGGTTTGATACCTAGTCGTTTGAGCTTATTGATAAGACACAAGTGGTTAACCTTATCAAAAGCTTTTGAGAAATCAAGGTAAATGATATCAACCTTTCCCTTACGGTCGAGGATGCTTGTCCATCTGTCCACTGCAGCCAGCAGGTTGCTTATACAAGAGTAACCCTTCCTGAAGCCATGCTGTTGGGGTGAGAAGAAATTTAGGGACAGTAGACAGTCTTTTAAACCGTCGCATATCAGGGACTCCATGAGTTTTGAAGATAATGACAGAAGAGCCACCGGCCGATAACTTGGAGGTTCATTGCATCGACCTCCTTCTAAAACTGGTGTGATGTGAGCCAACTTCCAACTTTCCGGTAGGTTGTCTCGGCTTAGCGAGTGTGAGAACATCACGGTAAGCGGCGTTGCCAGGATTGAGGCTGCCTCCCTCAATATGGCAGAATGAACCATATCCGGGCCAGGAGAAGTATCTAGTCTTAAGTGCTGCAATTTCTGGAACACCAAGTCAGCGTTTAGGTCCACTTCGGAAAGTCCTGTGAAATTGCAGATGAAACTGTCGTCAGTAAAGTTGATTTCGGCCGGTTGAAATGTCCGAGAGTAATGTGCCGCCAGAAGGTTAGCGGCGTCGCCATCGTTGTTGGTCGGGCCGTTAAGACCTAGCAGTTGAGGAACTCCTGTTTTAGCTTGACGAAGAGAGGCTGCATAACGGAATAGGGTTCTAGGGCTAGAGGCAAATTTGTCCATAAGCTTTGTCTGGTACTGAAGCCCATCTTCTCTTATAGCCTTCGTGCATATGTTCCTTATATGTTTATATTGCCTATACGCTCTGTCATTATCAGTTCGTTTGTATTCCGCCCAACAGTGCCTTTTGCGGCTTAGCAGGCGAAGGGTACGGTTCTTGATTATTGTAGGTGGCTTGTAGCTTTTGGGAAGCGTTTGAGGAACTGAATGGTTTGTAGCACATAAGAGCGTGTGCAGTAAGAAGTCTCAATGACCGTCCACATCGAGTTGAGGGTGAACATCCCAAACCACCTGTTGTAGATAGTCATGTAGGGCTGGCACATTCAGCCGTTTAAAATTCCAACGCGAATTACTGGTGGGATACCTCAGCTTAGTTTTGCTGACAAAACTGAAGGCTATGACTGCATGATTGCTTTTTCCCAGAGGAGCCAGGATTGAGAGGTTGTCAACTAGGAATTCTTCGTTTGTGAATACACAGTCTAAGCGCGGTGGTGTCTGACTGTTTCTCCAACGAGTTGCCGACCTCACATTTTCGTGTAATCCCAAGTCCTCAATGAGGCTGAAGAACCGAGCTTCAGTTGGGTTTTCACCTTCACCATACGTATGTTCCGCGAAGTTGACTCTAGGGAGATTAAAGTCCCCTAGAATCAGGATATGAGTGAAACCAAGACGAGTGGAGCGGGATAATCTCTCCAGCATACGACCGTCATACTCGGTGTCGGCAGTTGGCTTCCTGTAAATGACTCCGACCAGACACCTCGAAGTACTTGACAATCTAACAGAGCACCATATGGATTCCTAAAGACTGTTAAACTCGAGGTTATGAACTTGGTATACCTCCAAGCAAGGTCGTATGTATACGGCTACTCCACCCCCAATACCTGATTTTCTATCGTTGCGAAACAAAGACATCCCAAGTACTGCTAACTCCTGGTTCGAGAACTGAGAAGATATACAAGTTTCAGCTATTCATATCAGATGAGCCTTATTAGTATTGATAAGTTCACGTGGCTCATCCATTTTGTTTGGTAGTCTCGCGGCGTTCATCTATAAGCAGTTTATGCTTTCAATTTGAAACGCGTCAGCTTCTTCCCGTTTGTCTGTATGGGCCTTACGTGAATGGACAGGTAGCCTACCTATATAAGGTTTGCCGAGTTGGTAGGCCCTGTCCTTTACACGTTTTTTATCATTGAGACAGTCGACAAGTGGAATGGTCAGCTCCAACTTGCCTTTGGGCCTGGTCCTAGCTTCATATGACCTATCCGGGTGCATGTGGATTCCATGTGGCAACCGACGTCTTTTGGCACGAAATG